CCGGGTCGTTTTTTTTAAAAAAATTGGATTGGGTTTAAATCAAAAATTTGTTCTTGTGATTATAAATGTAACAATGAGTTAGTAACAAAATAAACACCTGCAACTGGATAAATTTGATCCAGTTGAAACACACTCCAGCGGCAAGCTCTACTCCCCCTTTAGACCATCTCCAACCACCCTCCATATCTCCAAAATCTCCAAATTTGACCCTCCAAAAATTTGGAGGGTGGGGAGAAAAAATGGAGGGTCTCTCCATAATACTATTCATGGGTTTTTAATTACAATTTTGCCATTTTTAACTATTTGGTTTCTTAAAAATTACCACTTTGCCATCCTTCTTATTAATTTAAATTAGATGTTTAATTTCAAATAAATATAGTTAAAAAATTATTAATCTAATATTTAAAATCATTATATATTTGGAAAGGGCTCGTTGAGATCTTTAAAATGAAACTAAGATTAATTTATTTTAGTATTATTATAAAATTATTAATTTTTAAATTAAATAAATAAGTATCAGACATGAAATTTTAAATACGGGGATCTATTTAACTTGCTCCATAAAATAATACAAGTATAAATTACGAATATGAATTTCCCACTGGAAATCAAGGAGGATTTTCTCAATTTGCGGGCGAAGCTGGTTCTGTAGGAAGAAATGAATATGGTGGTTCTTCGAGAGATCGGGATGGAACCGGTAGTTCTAATGATAATGATCTGCCAGAATTTTAATTGTCTCTTATCATATTTTATGTTTGAGGTTTATGTTTGCGACCTAATGATCTGCCAGAATTTTAATTGTCTCTTATCATATTTTATGTTTGAGGTTTATGTTTGCGACCTATGTTATGTTGTATTAGAGGTTAATATTTGCTTTCTTGTTCTATCGATGTATGCTTTTACTGTTATTTTAGAATTTCTTCTTTTTTAATATGTTGTATGACAATATTAATATTGGGTTCATTTTAAAGCTCTCATCGACACCTTTATAATGTTATAATTTTTTTTCCAAATAAATTATTAACAATAAAATTATTAACGTAAACTATATCCAACATTATTTAATTTATATGGCTTTTTTGACAAAAAAATAAATAAAAAGAAAAACATTTGAAGCGTGTGGGTTGGAGCAACCCTCCAAATTTCACATTCTAAATTGGAATATTCCTAGAATATTCTAATTTGGAGGGCCAAATTTGGAGGGTATGGTTGGAGATGCTGTTAGTGCAAATAGCCACGACAAACTATTGTCCTCGCTTCGCAATTTTACCCCAAACATACTTCACAAAGTAAATACATAATATCTCCATAAGGAGTAACTTTTATCAATCGTCGTCTTCACTGTAAAGGATCCTAACAATTTCTTACTTCCGCCTCTTTTGATGCGCGGAACCGGATCCAACCAGCCATTTTGGTGAACTGAGACAGTGAAAGATAGCAGAACAGTTAACAGTGTCCAAAGCAAAGAGAGAGGAGAGAGAAATAGAAAAGAGAAAAGAGAGAAATAAAGAGATCTGCTCACTTCTATTGAAACTACTCGATGCATTGCCACTCTGAATCCAGCTCCTAAGCCTCTCTGGATAAAAAAGCAGAGATTTTTCTGGTAACTCCTATTTCTTCCAAAACCCATGATTTCTTTTCGCATGTAACTGTCAGAGATTTTGATTTCTGATATGGGTTTTAAATGTTTAGATAGAAAATGGGTTTTATTCTAATTTTTTTTCCAACAGATCTGTTACTTTAAATTAGAGAAAAATAGCCGCTCATGCTCTAATGTCTTAATTGGGTGTATCCTAATTTGAACACATTTGGTCAGAAATTACTTAGTTTGGATGTTTTCCTCTTAATATACTATATTTCGTGATCTGGGTTCTCTTAAGATCTGTTTTACAATTACTTGATTTGTTAAGTCTTTTGTTTGGTTACTAAATCTTTATTAGACCTCAGCAGATTAGCTCAAACATGAACAGATTTATTCCAGCTTGGAGAAGAACTGAATCTCTTCTAGTTTCCACATATTTTCCTTCAGTTACTTCTGTTCTAATGTGTCTTAATTTCTTTTCTTGAAAACTTTAGGACTCTTGCGGTTACCCGGACTGTGTTTAATCCGAAATAGAAATTTGTCTTGGACTTAGTTCTTTATTGAATTGGCACTAAAGAGGATGTCAACACTGCTTCATCATCGCGGATTAACCAGCGGCAACAGCGATAGGGAGGCATTTGACCAGAGTTACACGGAGGACTCCTCTACAAATGGATTTGTAGTAGATCCTACAAATCCCACCGGAGTTTCTAGAAGCCATAAAAATCTATTTCTTTTCCTCCTCAAGGTAGCTCTCGCTCTTGTTGTTATCCTCGCTCTTGTTAGCTCACTCTACTGGACAGTTGGTTTCTCTACATCATCACATGATATAATCTTCAGAGGCTACCGGAGACTTCAAGAACAACTAGTTGATGACCTCTCAGAGATTGGAGAGCTTTATTTGGGCGACTCAAGATTCAAAGAGGTGGAATTTTGCCCACCAGAGTTTGAGAATTATGTTCCATGTTATTACAATGTCTCGGAGAATTTGGAATTGAGAGATTTTGATGGGTTGTTTGAGTATGAGCGGCGTTGTGGTAAGGGGATGCCAAATAATCAGAGGTGTTTAGTTTTACCTCCAAAAAATTATAGAATTCCGCTGAGGTGGCCGACTGGGAGAGATTTCATTTGGAAGGAGAATGTGAAGATCAAACGCCACGAGTTCTCGTCTGGGAGTTTGACCAAAAGGTTATATGATTGGCTTAATCTATAGTATGTTGCTGTATTGTCAATCTTATTAATTTCCGTTGTCTTTCTCTAGAATGATGGTGGAAGAAGAACAAATTTCATTCAAGTCTGATTCCTTTATGGTTGATGGAGTGGAAGACTATTCACATCAAATAGCAGAGATGATTGGGTTAAGGAATGAATCAAATTTCAACGAGGCTGGGGTGAGCAGTTTTGTGCTTATCATGATTATATTTAATTTTAAAATCCGCGTCATTTGAAGTTTCCACAAGGCGAGAGAAAGTATTTAAAAAATTGTTACTTGAATTCGCCTACTAGGATCCTGTTTATTTTGATTTTGTTTTTGAAATAACCAAAGATTAGAAAATGCTTGATGACTCGACTAGATTCTTTTAAACTATGTAATTATGTGATAAAGTTACATTCAGATTACGTACATAGTCTTAGCTGTGTATGAAGAATGCCATAGTATATATCAATATTAATAAATTCAACTTCTAAATAGTGTTCTTTCCGATTTAGATGTTACCATGTTCCGTAAGGTAATTCTTCATTTATGGTTTTCTCATATTATTCTTCATATTTGAATGGCTAAAATCTAAATATTACAAAATATGTATGTCTTAGCTTTTAAATCATATCTTCTGAAATTCTTTTAACTGCCACCATGATGTTTCTTTCTTAGTTATCATGATCTACATTTTCCTGACTAGTAAGTCAGAAACATATGGTTATCAAAGTGCCTTAATCTTATATTCTTGGAATTCTTTTAACAGATTAGAATCTTGAATATGCCTCTAGGAAGGGTGTGTATGAATATTCTTACTTGCTTAATGACGACTTGTTCATTAATTTCCCTAGGCATAGGCTTGTTTTAAAAATCATTCTCCCCCACCATTTATATGAGGAATATACTCCTTCCCATAGATGTTGGGAACATTAGACACTACATCACGAACCACGATTTGAGTTCAATCGTCCTAGATTCGCTGTGGAACACGACCCGATTCACCGACTCTAGCAACCTGATTTAGAATTCAAACCAATTAAATTTAAAAAAAAACTCTTTCTCAAAAGAATGAGCAACAAAAAACATGAAAAACTAAGCAAATAATGTATGCATACCTCAATTGCTACATGATTATTAAGGTTCTTTTACCATTACTGATATCAACTAGTGTATTTCTTAAATTTGACTCTTGCAAGACCTTTGATTTATCATCTAAGAACCGAATCTAAAATGTACCACGTTCCCTAGCGTAAAGTATAAGCCTCCCCCTCATACCCAATTCCTAATGAGTAGCATACCGTGCCCCCGTTCCCATCCAGTGCACCAGAATGAACCAGGTTCCATGCAACTTTGCTCCTACTGTGTTTGTAGACGTATTGAGAAGAGGTATCTGTGGGTAAAAAGATTGGAAGCTCGAACGATTCTGCCTCCTAATGAGCTTTCTTCATCTACTCTAATGTTTTTGTTTGTATTCTTGGACTCCTCTTGTACTTCTTGAGTTACTTTATGTTCTTATAGATCCATCCAAAATTAAAGCTTCCATTAATAGTGAAGTTTCAAGTTGAAAATATATGCAACTTGTGTGAATATCACCATGGTTATTCTAATTTTTGACGAAAAAAATGATGACCAACTGATATGAGTTTGACTTTTTTTCCTTCTTTAATTGCTATTGGCGGACTAGATATTTCCAAATATTAAAACTCATTAGTTTGTTTTCTGCACATTCCCATTCAATCATTCACTTCATATGTTCATGTTGTAAGCATGTTAAAGGTTGTCAATATTAGGTCTGGCAGGCCTTTTACAAGGTAAATGCTATAACTTATCTTATAAGTCATGTTGAGTCAATCTGCTCTGCGGGTTTCTGATATTCTTTTTAGTTCATATGTTCGCCATTGTTTCGGTTTTCTTCTTGACAATTATAGAGAGCTGCAACAGATATATCTGTTTAATTATAATCACTCAAGCTTTGTAATTAAGTTAAATATAATTTTAAAAAAATCTGTATTTGTTATACTTGGTAGAACGAGTTTCAAAAGTTTATCATTTTTATCCCTCTCAAGTATATTCAGGTACTTAGTTCTAACTGATTGTAATGTTCAATCTTATGTCATAGATAAGAACCGTCCTAGATATAGGCTGTGGCTTTGGTAGCTTTGGAGCACACCTTTTCTCAAAAGAACTTCTTACTATGTGCATTGCTAAGTATGAGGCCTC